TTTTGCTTTTTACCAAATCGCAAACTTGGTATCGTCTTGCTGTTATATAAGCTCAGGAACCAGTGATGCTAGAAACAAACGAAACACTCAAAGAGTCATGTGGTTGTTGGCTTAGATCAGATTCAAATGCCTTCTCATAGCCAGTCCTAGTGCTTGTTCATATAGCTTATCATTAAATGAAAACAAGAACCATCAAAGGAGAATCTAGACAATAGCAATATATATTTGTTGGACTACGCTTCTAAGTAGGAATCACTTCAAATAGCTTTATCACCTTACCGATGAATAGATAGTGAGCATTCTTCTCCATCACTATTAAGCTTCTTTTATAAATTTAGGAAGAAAACAGCTGATAGAAATTCAAGCATCGAGCAGAATAAGTATCCATCTTATGAGTATTCGGTGCCAAGGTTATGAAACATTTATTAAAGAGTATGCATACTATAATCTGACCCTTTTCAGCGTAGAAGATGTAGTCATACCAGATTGCAGTGATGAAGTGCTGATAGTTAAACTTTTCCATGAGTATACCTCATGAAACCATTTAATTTCACTTAGCCTTGCTTCTGAAAAGATGTTCTCATCCAGAATGAACTGTAGATTCGACCTCGAATGAATCTCATCTACATTCTTAACGGAAATCTAAACTGTAATGTAGTGTTAATTACAAGCACATTACCACTAAGCCACACTGCTGGTGTCTCGAAACCCACTTATGATAATTAAATAATACCTAAAGTCTACAATAGTTGTATCATTTGACTTAATTTCTCCATCAATCGCAAGATTTTTGTTTCTCTCTGTTTGGTTGCCACACATAAGCAGCAGACTATTTTCGAACGTGGTTATGAAGATCAAGATGTTGTGGTCTCTATTTTTGTAGAAATCCCTTTTCAGAGTGGTATGACAGCTTTTTAACAACTTCGTCGTGTTGTCAGGGTGACTTAATTGGACGCATCTTGTCCGAAGTCCTCCGCTATAGTTGTTATCATAAGTCCCAGCGTTAGACCGTGGGCTTAGTATATTTCCAGACATTTTGCTGGCATCGTCAGTGAGTCTTGTTATTCTCAACACCAAGCCATAATTCGTCTCTTTACCAAGATCAGAATATTTATATATCTATTTTGGTCCAATGTTACTCGAGGATTGTCTAACGGGTTATATGCGTAATTAATATAAGCAACAATGAATAATTAAAGATATGAAGACCAAGATGGTGTGGCTCCCGGTATGGATAAATTTCAAAACAGTTTATTGTTTATTCATTAGTGTGCACTTCAAGTTATGGTGCCATAACTGTTAAGATGAAAATTATGGAGATAAAAAGCAAGAGTATAAGATACCAAAAAAATCAATATACACTTTTTAAAAGATACATTAAATAGAATAGAATAGAATAGAATAGACAAACACAACTTTTACCTGTCCATATATAGCTAATACATGTTGACCACGCTAAAAAGGCGTATCCAAACCAAATCGAGGTCAATCTGAACTTAAATAAAGCATTTTATAAAATATAATTTATGCAGGGGGGAAACAAAATTGCACTAAGAAAAAAGTTAATCTGGCTATTTTGACAATTAGGGACGCTTTTGCTAGGAGTTGCTTCGTAGACACATGATATTTGGGCAAGTAAATATGTTGAAGCAGATGAGTCAAGCAAAATAGTACGACTCACCTTTCCAGTCAGTAGAGAATCCAAAACTCCTTCCACGTTGCCGGCGCCTTTGTTCATAAGTGCCGGAAACAATAATACTAGAGTGGCTGCATTTGCTTCCGCGATGCAGTACAGTGTGAGAATGTTGAGAGTCTCTTGACCCTCGTGTGCAGATGGAATTTGAAAATTCTCGGTGAGGCTTAAAACCCAGTTGGAGAGAATTGGAGGAGTAAACAGATGTGGAGAGGAGAGGCGAAGGCTGAAGTGGCAGAGAATGGCGCTCATTACTGGCCTTTGCTGATCGAAACACATAGCAAAATTCCAACAGAAAGAAAGTTAACACAGAAGTAGATACGAAACAGTTATTTCGCAATTTCCAAACAGCACAGGTAGCATGGGATTATGTAAAGTATTAATGCATATATTTTTAAAAATGTAAGCTCTAAAAATATGTAATATTACTTATTTTAAGTCGAGTATCCTTAGCCACTCCAATGAAAACATATCCGAAGCAAAGCAGACATTTTAATTTCGCATGAGAGATGAAAGCCAAAGACGAAGAATGATGACTCAATAACCTAGACTATCTCAATATTGAACTGAAAAAATCAAAAAACTTCAATTTATGATATGCAGACAATTGAAACTTTGTTTCGAAAAGTTTCAGTCAAACTAATCCTCATATAAAAAACATGCGTCCTGAAGAAATCTGTTTCTCCATCTAAATATGAGATGTATACAACCTATTTTGTTTAAGGCGATAAAAGATTGGTAGTTAAATTATACAACAATATGGGCAAACCTTAAGATTTCAGTGAATTTGGCATAGCCTTACTTCCCCAAAGGTATGCCCATATAGTATGAACTGTAGTTAAGACATCGACTAGGTCTCAACAGCACCCACAGCGGGACTTTAATCATGGTAGTTTAGCGTATAATTTTAACTGATAGTTGAGTTTTCCCACAATAAGATAATTAAGTCCTCATGTGCCATTTCATTTGACTTAGCCCCGTCTCCCACCCAGGCTGGAAAGGACTGCAGTTTCGAGTTAGCCTGTCTCATCCCTTGCGCTGATGATGTGCATTATCTGACTAAAAAAGCTTGACACATTCTCACCGGTATCAAAGGAGAATGTTTGGGCGACAGTCAAGCATAATGCTCCGATAAAGCCAATCGACAATTGACTAAGAGAAATTTATTGTCGTCTCCGGGCTAGATCGACCTTCGAACCTCTTCACAACATACCTTCACGCAAAATGGATATGAATTCAGAACTTAAGAGAATCTTCACAAACCGTCGAGCCTATCTAACTGTAAAAAAACGTGAATTAAAAAAAAATCAAGTCAGCATGATTAGGGCTGTAGGAATAATATATTGTCGATGACTTCATAGTTTGTAAAACCAACGCAAATATCAAATCTATTAAAGAAGTAAGTAAATAAAGGAGTTCAGACTTTCAATTCATATAAGATTTGTCTCACCGTAAATAAATAGAAATAGAAATTGTTTAAAATTGACCTTCATTTTATCAGATAACAGGGTAAAAATATAATAGACACAAGGCAGAACAAATACTCATTGCCAGATAGTCTCTTGACTAGACATAATCGAAGCAAAATTTTCAAATAAAAATTGTAATTTAAAATATTTGAACACTGGAGAATGCTAGTGAAAGCTATAAACAAGGTTATTCATATTTCTTAATTTTCAGTAACAAATAAATCAAATATGTGGCTTTCCGATAAAAATTGTAGCAAAAGTGAGATAAAAGTAAAGAACGTTCACCAGAATGTATTTGGCCTTCGCTTCGAAGAGCATGATTCTGTTGATGCTCATACTCTGTGATACATTGGAGTCCTTCTGGTGACTCCTTTGTTTGAGAGGTTACTAATTCGGCATTTGGAGAGGGGCTGGAGTTCTCACATGACATACGGAAGAGGTTGTGGAACCGTGGTGAATTTTTAATGGCAGCAAGGTTGAAAAAAAGATCCATTAAACTTCTACTCAATTTAATATTAGGCCGATCCGTCTGGATGTAAGAATCTAAGTAGAGTTGGGTATCAGCCCTCTCGTCCTCACCGTCTGTGGGAGGGCCCGCGTCTTCTGCATGGTCGGCCGTTGTCGCAACAACCGCCACTTGTAGCAATCTGAGTGAGCCCGAAGTGCTCGGCACCGACGGCTGCCCTGGATTCACATTCACATTAATCTGCATTGGTGTTATATCCGTCAGAGAGTCGTCCATCGAAGCAGGTCTAGGTGTTTCGGTACCTACGTTGAGAGGTTGTCTACGCGAGGAGCGCTAAGACAATTTCAGACAAAAATCAAGATAAGGTTTATAGTAAGCATAGTAAATCAGGGAGAATGCAAAAAAATTTACCCGTTCGCATTCTTATAGTATTTGGAAAAAAGAGACGATGAAGAGATTAAATAAAGATCATGAATCTAGGGTGAGTTGTGATAGAACTAGACAAAAAGAAATAAAATAGAAAACGAAAAATAAAATGATAATGTACTGGTAAGAACTAAGTGTTAAAAATAATTAATGGTTACATAAATCAAATGATGTATTAATACCTCTCAATAGTTTCAGGAAGAATATGCTATAGTTTCGTAAGTCAAAGGATTTGCCAGTATAAATTCATTCATAACAAAAATCTTTTACCTGTACTTGTATACTAACGCGATGAAGTAAGTAAAATACATTTTACCATATATAGAGGATACAGAAGAACAGTTGGATACAATAAATCTGCCTCAGTAACGATTTAATAAGCCGAAATTTGAGCTCAAATTGAGTTTGATAAGAAATCCATCTACCTGCATCTTAGAAAATAACTTTAATAGATCACTCAGAAATAAAAAATATTCTGATCGTGGATTGATTGATTAGAAGACATATATGTAAGAGCTCAGATTACGAACTTATATGACAGAATGCTCTAATGCAAACATAAAAATACTGTCAAAATAGAGGTAAATAGAGGAAACGAGTATTGCACGGGACGGAGCAGCAAGAAGTGTGTTTTTATTGCATCAAAGTTATGCAAAAAAAATGTTTACACAAAGTTGGTTCGCTTATAGATGAATGCGAGCCTGAAGAGTCTGGACTGAATCAGACAAAGGCCAAATTACTGAATCCTAGAAGAATAATAGGTAAAAATTGAATTTCAAGATTAAATATCGTTAAGCAGGAGTGGAAAATCGTTTGCACTGAATCAGCGGCCGGAATGAAGCTCAAATCCCATGAAAGCATTAATATGTCATGTTCTTTCCTATCCTATAATCTTATGAGTTGTGTTTTTTATACTAGTGACTGGTTTATTCCTTTTAATTTCTCAAAATATATCGAAGTCTAGAATTCTGAACCAAAAAGAAAAAGAAATAAAAAGAGCATCCCAACTAATGCTAATTTTGAAGTAAAACGTACTAGAATAAAACAACAACACCAAAAAGAAGACATTATCCTATAAAAGCTACATTATTTAGATATTCAGATAAAATAGTCCTTAAAGGCTAATAAGCAATCGATCTATATTAGTGCACACAAATGATGTAAATTATGAGCTTAATTATGAACAAAAATTTACGAAAAAAGGGAATCATAATTCACTCGACTGGTTTGAACCAAATCGCATTTAGTGATTGTTGATCGGACTTCGTTAAACTTATATATAGTCATATGCGAAGAAAAGTTGGGTTTCGAGGAATCTCTTGTTTCATAA